CAGGGGACGAGGCATTAGGATGTGTGATCCGTGTTGCCTGCGCCGGGTCATTTGCGGGTTCAAAATCCATATCAATTAAAACAGCGGCGAAGTTTTCTCCTCCAATCGTCGATGGTATATGGCTGTCACGGAGCTCATGATGTCAATTCGGGTCACCCGCGATAATCGCAGCGGGGCCCAAGCGACGGAAGATATTAATAAATGCGGATTCTTGAACAGTTTCCATGGGAGGGTTGTGGTAATTCACCACGCAAATGCTGGGACAGCCCGGAGAAAATACACGGACAGCGATGGTCTCCAGGAGGTCAGTGCCAGGGAGCAACAGGCGCTCGCACGGTAGAGAGTGGCGCACCATAACGGCAACACCACCACCGCGCCCAGTGCGGGCCTGAAGAAAGCCATTACAGCCGGATAATTCTGCCTCTATGGCGCTTCGATTATTTGTTGCCTGGAGAAGAACGATGTCAGGTTGGGGCAGCTCCCATCGCACAGCAAACGCAATATTTTTTACGGAAGAGAGGCCTGCAATGTTGAGCTGCCAAACAGTGATGTAGCCATCCACCTCGGGGCCGGAATTCTTGTGGACGTCACCGCCACGGGTAATATCAACGGAATGACCGCAGCGAAACGGTCGTGCAGTTTTGTCCGACAGTCTGCAGGCAGACCGCTTCACCTCCCCACACCGGGCATGGCGTGGTACCTTCTCGAGGGGTAGAGTCGTCTTCGTCTCCGTCGTGCTCGCAGCAACGCCCTGCTGCGCAGTTCCTATATGCAACCAAAGCCCCAGCACCGCGACAATGTACGACTTCATCGTTCGTGGATACTCGCGACGGATGGCGGTGTCGGCGTTCCCAACTCAGCCGGGGTTGGAATACTGCTTTCATCCCTCAACTCATCTGAGATAATAGAAAAGGCCAGTACCAACTGCGGCACACGCCCATGCAGCTACAGGACGGAATCCCGCGCGCTGCTTCTAGCCCTAGAGAAGCTGATTGTCCCTCGTATCCAGCACAGGCATAAAACCCTGCTTGTGGTTACAGATAGTCAGTCTCTTCTAGCGGCTCTAAACAAGGGTCCGCTCAGTCAGACAGACTGGACGGAGGATCAGATCTGGCAGCGTCTCTTGACACTGACGTGTGCTGGCTGGTCCGTGCACCTGCAGTTTTGTTACGGACATTGTGGAGTACATGCTAATGAGCTTGCAGATCAGTATGCGACGCAGACTATGGCAACCGGACAATACACGGAGCAAGGAATCGCACCTTTATGGCATACGGACCTGCTGACATGTTTTACTACCCAGCTCACCAATAAGTGGCGTAGTACCATTCGTCAGTACACTCACCGCTGCTTGCTTTGCGGCACAAGGCCATCAGATCTCAGCGGTAAGGGCCTGATCACTCAGGAAGTTCTTCACCGTCAAGAACTGGTTCACCTCGCAAGGGCAAGGTGCGGGGAATCTGAGCTCTGGGGCCGACTATACTGGGCTGTGAGAGATTTCACAAACCAATGCCGTTTCTGCAACATCTCACCGGAACAGTCTGCATATATGCGCTCTAACAACGATCCGACCGCACCGGGGACGGACACTGTTCCCCCGTCGGCAAGGGACGAAGACGTCTCTCCAGTAAGGAGACGGAACGTCACACGCCGTCGGAAGGAGAAATGTCCGTACTGCGATTCTATATTGACGGGATTCTCGAATCTCGTCAGTCACTGTCGGTCATTCCATCCGGAACATCCTCCACCGCTTCCCGAGCTCAAATGCGATTTCTGTGACATGGTTTTCCCCACACGGAGAAACACCGCACAGCACAGAAGTCGCTGCGCACACAACCCAGACGCCACTCGACATCGAAACAGCAGTGCCAGGAGGCGATCTCTGCTGCCGCAGGATCAGCCTGCTTCCACAAGCACGCCAATAGGCCCGCAGGAAACCTTGCACCATCTGCTTCTAGGATGTCCAGACACCTTGGCTGTGCGCCAACGGCTGAGCATTGAGCAGGACCTCCGTCACGGAAAGTTCTCCCAATGGCAGCTGCTTCATAGCAGAAAACTTTTGTCGTTGCTCGACCACCTCATCGGCACTCAGATGGCACCGTGTGGCTGGACGTGCCGGTAAGAGTAGAAAAAAATAATAATGAGCATTCTTGCCACCATCGGGTAGCGGTGCAGTTTGCGATCCCTCTGGAGGCTCTCTCTTTTCATTGCCGTTTTTGTCCAAGAAGTCATCACCGCCATCTTTTGTGGTGTGGTCGGCTTCGTGTTGCGCTCGGGGTCCTCCTCCTCCACCGCCTTGCGGTGTTGCCTTTGCCGTCTCTGACACCTGTGACGGTTTGTCCTGAAGCCTGACTGCCCTGGGAGGTCCTCCCGCCAACAGCATGCACTCCACCTGCTGCCTGCTGAGATGAGTTGGGGAGTGGGGATGTTGTGCCTGCAGCGGGCCCTCCGCCCAAAGACTCCTGTCCACTTGCATGGGTCTGGGAATCGGACACGTCACCAGTGTCAGAAGGATTGGAAGTGATACTTCGCGGTGGGTCGCTGCTGGATTGATCCTTCCCCGTCGGAGCAGTGAGTGTTTCAAGGGGCGTGGGCGTAGGACCATCACTTGCTGTGTTTCCTCCACCCTCCTCGTCTTCCTGATTGTTACTGCCCTCAGAGTTCACGCTCCCATTTCGTCCAGAGCCACCGGCCAATTGGTCACTTTCCGCAGCCATCACTGCCCACATGTGTCCAGCAGTCACCGCGCCATCACCGGCAGGCCGCACACGCACCTCCGTCGCAGCAGCTGTCGCACACACGCACAAGAAACAGCACATCAGTGCAGGCACCAACAGGACGCAGAGCACACGGCCAGTCATCATCACAAACAGTTTAGCCACTTAACGCCTTGGAGCCAACCTGCAACAGCATGTGAAAACAAAAGGAGACACAGCCGCTACACCACGCACAGCCACCGCACAGCAACAAATGGC